TATCTAATTAAATCCTATACTATCTTTCCACTTTAACATATTAGTGTACCATATCATGGTACAGCTTAATTAGGATCTTCCGAGTCTTAACACGACAATCGATAAACAAGGGACAAGTAATTGTTCAATGGGAAATCATAAAACAGTGCTCTTGGTCCATAAAGCTTGTTTCTAGCACATAAGGGACCATATTTAATCACTGTTATAATGTTAATATGTAATGAACTAGGCCAATGTACTTGCAAACAGTATTATACTTTATTAAAGATGATCCCAAGCGTGCTAGGAATAATGGCAATATTTTACATTGATAAATTCTGTTTCATCACTTTTTGTAACATAAGTTTTGCCACGCACATTTGTCAATGATATAAATCGTATCCACTTAAACGTCTTATACATATATATAGTAACAGATACTTAATTAAGATAATGCTTAAACGTTTTGTACATAGGACAATTATTATATATTTTGTTATTTTTGTTCTCTTTTAGTTCGCTCATCGAGTGACATGTATGGGAACTGGCATGGCGGACACTACTTTGTAGCTAATCATTAGTGACAATATTGCAATGTTAAATAAGGGCAACAAAGTGTTTTAAAAGATAAGGCTTGTTTAACAGAAAATACGTCTCTTTTGATTACACACGACAGAAAACAAACAAAGGAGAATTGGCAAATGGCCCATTGAGGTCAATAACACTTCTTTCTGCATGTTTGTTAACCCCAAATCATCCATTTATTCAACGCCCGTATCAACGGACAGTGCGTTCTAAACTAAATGACGACGTGATCTGGTATACGTATAAACGCAATTAACGCAAGTGTGAAAATTGAACCCAGAATCGGATTGAAAAAACAACTTACGGTGTTAAGTTGAAAATTGAAATCATAGAAAATCGTCATATGAAAACCAGATAGTTCACAATTTAAGAAGTTAAGTAAAATAACAAATTGCAAATGACACTTCAGGCACGTTGCTCATATTGTGTAAATTGATCATCAAAATGACGAACAATAAAAAGTAATTGAACGTTATCCACGGGTGTTAAGCCACGATGATACCATGAGCACATGCCTTGAGGATCCGCGTTGTTTGAAGCTACCGCCGAGCTCACTTATACATCACGACCCGTTACACAGTCATGATACCGCCGAGCAAGCTCATTGCATCATCGGGTCTGCTTTACCCCCGTGGTTATCGCTGCCCAAGAACGAATGCGTATAATTCCAAGGATAATATTGATCATTTCAAATTGTGGAACGAAACAATGTCATTTGAGGTTATACAAATTAAACCATGAAATAGGTAATCAGTAACGTAAGCCGTCAGATGTGTGATCTTTTATGGCTGAGTGGGAGAAATAACACGCGGTAACTATGGATATTAAGCGTTCTTTACACGCGTTCATACACGCGTAACACGTTTGAGAAATTAAACGCGTTACAACACGCATTTTTACACGCGATTACATGTGAGAAACTACATGCGTTATTACATGCGCTCTAAAACGCGCGAAAACACGCTGAATGGTATTAAAAACACACGCCGAAAACACGGGTAAAAGGTCACGACCTTGACCTTATACCATTTATACGAACGATCAACATAACGTTTGCCAGTAAGACTTCAGCAAAAGTATATATGCAGTATAGCAAATGATTTTAGATGGTTACATCTTTCAGCATATTTACTTTCTGGCATTAACTACAGTGGTTTTTATAAAACAATATGTTTTCACGAGTGAAGTTCCCATGATAGTAAAAAATCAACCCGACTCTCAAAAATTAACCTTGGCCATTTAAAAAAAATGTTAGGCTTTTTTCTAAAAAGAGGATCTTGTTTTTCTCAATTTAAACATATCGAAAATTTCTACAATATTAACAATTTCCGATAGGGGATGGGTATTGAAAAGCAACGTAAAAACACATATCTCATGTTATTTTCCTATAGGGAAAATTCGTGCTATCCACTGTTTCAGCATATTTTTTTGTCATCTAATATATAAGCACAAATGCCAAAAGGAAAATTGATATCTTCAAAACTAGACTTTCAATACCATTCTACTTTTGAAAAAGTTTTAGACCCCTTGTTGGATAATATTTTCATGCAAAACCAATCAGAAAAAAGATCCTCGTTTGAGTAAATAGGTTCAACATTTTGGTAAAATTGTTGACACTGGGTCCCTATTCATAATTTTCAAATTGTTCGATTGATATTTTTATCATCATGAATACTTCACTTGAAAGAATATTGTTTATGAAAAACACATTATTTATGTACAGGGTGGTCAAAACGGAAACCCTGCATTTTCTTTATGTCTTTGTCGTTTTAAAATCACTCCCTGATATTTCACACATATGTACATCATTCAATTTTCTGCCACCCTACCATAATTCACGACCATCAGACTTATAGTCACAGTTTTACAGCACTGAATAACATGCTTCAGGTTCGGCCATCATCACAAACCTGTACAGTTGCCAATGACCCGAAAGCATTCCTCAGCAGGTATGGTCTGAATGGATGATCTCATTTTTGAGGTTTGCAATTGTCCTGAGGTTATTCTCATACACTCTATGTTTGCTATATCTCCAGAGGTAGGGACATTTTGGACAACGCGAGTGCAAGTTTCCCGACAGCGCAGAAGTGGCAACTAGGGCATGTTCTTTAAAGTGTTGTGACATTGTGACTATCAATTCGATGGTCATGATATAAAGTGGACTGGTAGGAAATTGAATGATGTACAAATGAGTAAAAAATATCAGGTAGTTATTTCTAAAGTGACAAAGATATTAGAAGAATGGTATACGGGTTTCCATTTTTTTCCACCCTGTACTTATGTCTTTTTGTATTTATAATTACGTGTGTAATTTCTAAAACGAATCTTTTGGGGCTTTAGCAAGTCATATTGGAGACTAAGCTGGCATATAAAATCGAAACGCCAACCTGTACGTATATATCGCCCTATACAAATGCATGTAGTTTTCTCACATATAGAACAATCGTTTGGTTACAGTGTTTACTTAGTCCGTTACGTAGACTACACCGCCTTTTGTAATATGCCATAGAATAGATATACACAGCTGGTTTTCTATGATAAATATTCTAAACAAGCTCGTATCGTAATAAATATTTGTTGCTAAAGCATGTATGACATACATCATTTTCATTAGAAAGCATTACACTGTGCATCGAAATCAAAATTGGCAATTGCAACAATGATTACCGTTGACACCAACGTGAAATTGCAAATCTACCGTTCTTAACACGAAACTGAAGCTAGTGAATCTGAAGTAGACCAATATACCAATACGCGATAACGTTTAGTTTTCGTTCAGTTCAGTTGCCTCCCGTTTGAAGAGCTCTCATGTATGGTACAACATCGTCTACATCCGGGTTCTTTCCCATTGGATTACACAGGGATGCTATTTTCAATGCCGCACTGCGACTCTATTAAACATTTATGTAGAGTTGCATTTGCACAAATGATAGGTATGTATGTAATTAAGATATATAACAAGGCTTTTTGAACTGTAATCCCCAAATCCGAAGAAATCTGTAGTTGAAAATGCCGTCCAATTCCAGTGACGTCACTGATTTCCCAGAAATTGCTCAGATCTCATCGAAGATCGAAAAAATATAAATAATGTTACTTTGAATCTCCGATTATCTTTCTGATTATTCAATAGATTGGATCATATAACTATGCTTGATGGCTGATGGAAGATCAGAAGCTGAGAAACGTTCAGAGTATTCGACTCGTTCGGCGGGCCAATGAAAATTTGTCCCTTCCAAAGCGATGCATGATCATGGGAGATATTTATGTAAATAACCACCTGAACTCTTATCGCGAATAGGAGTATTAGCGCTTGTTTTAAATGCGCGCTAATACACATTACTGTATTGATTCATGGGCTTTGCGTTCACGGTTACGTTGTGAAAACATTGCATGCTAAAGGTCTCGGAATTTGTCACTAACACGTACGTAAGGGATCAGAATATTAGGGAGGTTAAGCTTCTATATAAGATCGATACGAAAACGTTTAACGTATCGAGCGCGACTATAATTGCAAACAATCTGCACATTAGTGTTTCTCCGAATACATTAAATTACACGTCACTAAACGTCAAAACAATACTTTAAGTTCTGCCGGTACTAGGTTAATTCAAAAAATGTATCTGCATTTCATCACAATCTGCATAAGATAACATCGGTAAATATATAGCTGGTTAAATCTTTCCGTTCACGTTTACGTTGTGAAAGACAGTACATGCTTAACGTACCTCTCTATTGTCAGTCAAAATGTACGGTTGGACATATTTCCAATAAAGATATATTTTCTCCATTCTTTTGATATAACATATGAAACGCGTAAATGTCATATATAGGGCTACTTATTGTATAGTTTCTAAATAGCTGAATAACGCTGACATAATAGATGTCACCCTTGTTTGTCTTTGATTTTCTTGGGCCACGCCTCCATTCAGTTCAATGCTAGAAACTTGCAATAGTCACTTAATTTCATGATTTGTCAAAAAGTGTTGGTTGAATCTGTCTGAAACTCGAATGGCATACTATCGGATGAAACTGTTAATGTACATATTGTGATTAAACATGAAAATGTTGGTTGTCATACGAATAAGCCAAGGTTTTAATGAATCTTAGCATTGCACCAATGGAGATTTGGCCCAAGTTCTTTTAAATGCCTTGAAAAATGATTTAAATGACATAACTATGTAAATCAAACTTATTATTGGAGAAAACTTGTCACTGAATTCAAATATGCTATCAAAAATAAAGAAAAGTAAGTCATTAGCGGTAAAAAGTGCAAATCTCTAAAAATCTCATGAAAAACGAGATTTAGCGAGATTTTAAAGCTATTTAGAAACTAATCTATTCTCAACCATACCATTCTAGTCTGATTGGAAATGTAAAAGTAAGAGTAGTATGATTTAGTCGGAAAGTGTATTGCTCATTTGTAAAATATTTTACCACTGTGTTTCACAAGTTCAGTATTTTCAACTTATAGGATTGCAATCCATCCGATTGTAATATTCTATTACACCTTTTTATGAGCAACCCATTTGATTTGATTTGGTGCACAAACTTTACCTAGACGTACAGAAATACCCCAAAATACGTGTTAAATGTAAAACTTGTTAGAGTAGATTGGGAGAACGGGCTTGAGAAATGACCACCGGTCGGGATACTGCAATGTTATTCATTTCACTTTCTTTAAAGCATGACGTATGAGCAGTGATTTCAAATGAGTGTTTATATTTATAACTGTGTTGTTCCGCTACCTGGTGACTGTTGGCCATTCGAGACGACCAACTGACTGTTTCCTTTATACGTGGTCGTTTGCATATTTTTGCCAACACTCTGCGACACTCGAAACTGGCACACTCGAAACCAGCCACAGTACATTTCTTGCAAAGTCTTTCTAAAGTCCATGTTTGTGAATAAATAGATAAAAAAGTTCAAACCAAAATTAAATACTGCTAATATGTCCATAACGATGCGAGCGATTTGGAATTGATCACATAATAAAATCTCTGGGTCGGTAATTGTTAGGTACAACATCGACCAAACTGCCCCAGGGGTTTCGCAAATCAGGAACGAGAGGTTGATGGCGATTAGAGTCACTGTTATTCTATCTTTCTGTCTTTCTCTGTTCCCTTTCTCTTTACACTTGTCTGCTGCCAAGAGCGACTTTGAGCGTCTCTTCTGCGCATTGTTGATTCTTTTACTTAAGTTTGATATCAACAGTATGGATAACACCAAACAGGCAATCCAGGGTATGAGGATATTTAGCAAAACTTTCAATGGGTGGTATGTGCTCTGAAATGTCCTGTTTTCAAACAGTTTTGTATAATCCATATATTTTCCAGTGAAATTATTTGCAATGGTCCCTTCCGCAATTTGTTTCAAGAAAAATTCGGGAATATTGAGAACAACCGCCCAAATGAATATACAGACTGTGATGCATTTTGCAGTTTTCATTGTACAGACTGTTTGAGCCTTGATCGGAAAACCGACCGCGATATAGCGGAAGATACTAACACTCAGCGCCGATGTATTGGACGCAGTGACGAAAATGTTGGTTGGGATTTGGTAAATCCCGAAGAAGAACCTCCAGGGGAGAAAAGGTACTGTATGTAGCCATTCAAGAGATCCTGTCTCAATAAGGAGCCATCGGCCCGAACTGTAAAAGTAAATGTAATAAAGCGCCAGGGTAATAAGCGCTCCCAAGTCGGAAACATCCAGTCCTATTAGAAAGATATTTGTGGGGTTAATCATCTTAGGACGTGTGAGCACTGTCAGGTTTGTAATACTACATATAATTCCAATGATGCAAATTATCGGAATGACCACTCCCCTGCCCCAGAATTCCACTCGAATACGAAGGGGACCGGGATGGCACTTTCTGTGATTGCCCTCAGATGCATTTCTACCAAGTGAATCACCGTCGAAGCTTATGTTTTGATGAATGCTGCTAGTTTCTCCATTGTCTGATTTGAATTCATATTGCATGGTGGCAGTGTCGAGAATACCGTTGTCGCGACTTGCATTAGCGAGGGTGTTGTTCTTGTAGTCAATAGCATCATTGGCGAATATGAATCCTGGGTAATACCTCAGAAAGTTAATCAAGATAAAACATCCACCTGCCCGGAGGTTCCCCATCATTCACCAGCCTCAAATCCTAGAAGAAGAACACAAAGCCAAGGTCAGCAAAGTACAAATTAGTAAGGTTTCTTAGCAATGCAAATATTCATTTAATTATTCTAAACCTTAAAGCTATACTCTGCGTCTAATGTAACCTCTGCAATACTTCCGCACTTGTTATGTACGGAATAGTTAATTAACGCTAATATAGCCATATAAACGTGAACTTTCTGGTTGTTGCGTGTCTAAATGACACTGGAGAGAGGCATTCACCAGTGTTCTTGTCATGTTAGAATACATCAAAGTATATTTAACGATTTTATTATGGTCATAATTAAGAACGCACATTTTCTAGGGCAGGCAACCTCATTGGACAATGTATTGAAGCTTGTTTATGGTTTTATAATTGTGACACAACAGGTATATAAAGAAATGAAAATAAAACGGCGCTAATGAGATAATCAAAGAAATACGACATAAAATTCGGTTATGTACCCTTTCTTTGGTATGAGTTTAACAATAGTTCTGGATATGGAATGGTGATACTCGTCGGTTGTTTTTTGGCACTTACACTCATACATTCCATTAACATTATTAATGATCTTGTTGACTAGAGCCATTCACTTATTTCGCACTTTAATAATCAAGGGATGCTTATAGTAAACTGTATTCATTTCACGACAATTTCGTACATTCTTTGCGTAAGCAAGTGAATGCAAAGTTCTTACTAATGGCAAATCCCCGTGGCTGAATGAATGCCAAGTACCTTAATATATAGCCACATGCCTCGATGCCATGTATAATCTATAAGTACAACCTACTAATGACACTAATTTTTTATATTAGGTATCCGTGAACAAAATTTTAACCATTATGAAGCATTACCAACAATTTGACTGTCCGAACACTAGCTCTTATTAAGTACGTTCTAGTGTGTTAAATGTGGACTGACAAAGACCATTACAAAATTCACCAAGAAAAAAACATATACAAGCAAAGTCAGCCATGAGGAAAGAATCTCTGATATCCCGATTTAGTATAAAATGAAATATGAAATAGAGGTTATTTATTTGGGATTTAATATGGGTTTTATTTTGAGGGACATGGTATTTCCCGATTTTTAACGTATACATAAAAATATTGGGTGAGACTTGAGATAATGTATGCGGCGCCAGTCAAAATTGAATTTTCTGATTGGGTTCGAAGCCGAGATGCCCGGATATGACCCGGCAAAAGCCGGAATTCACGTGATTTTTCACGAAGAAGGGGCGGAGTTTAAGCGAGATTCATCGAGACTTCTCCATTTAAGGAAAGTGTCAGTCCGCTTATAACTCCGCCTTTTTACCCTTAAATGGAGAATGCCATTTTCGAAGGGGTCCTTTTTAGGCTGGGAGATTTTCATCATTTTTTCCTAGATTTCTTGAAAGTTTATTGAGTTATTTCAACCATTCTTTGTCGGTGTACACCTGTCGACAGTATTCATCTTAATAACCTATTGCCGAGTAGTTAATTTTTTTTGATTTGACAAAAATTTGATCAGAAACTATATTACGAAAAACTCCAGTGATAGACGGGTGTTACTAAATAACACCTAGGTGTCCCCTTGGGCACCTGGATTTATAATTCCATAACCACGTAAATTTAGTATTATTTCCTTTGTCATATTAACTTGACATACGATAGACTTGAAATAATCATTTGTAGTCGAAAATATTCTAAAGAAGATTCGAAAATAAAATATAGAAAGCTTTATTGTTAGAAAAATGGGCACCTGGAATTTTGCTCATATGTATGGTCACTTATTTGTAGTAATAAAACACCGTTTATGCTAAAGTGTGCATTTATCTTTGAAACACAGGGGCGGATCTGGGAACCAACAAGGGGGGGGGGGCCCAAACTTGTGGTCTGAGAAAAAAATTTTGGGCCCCAAAAACCCAAAAGTGGGCCCAAATTTTGAAAATTTGGCCTTAAATTAAAAAACAAGGCCTTAGAAGGCCAATTTAAGACCTAAAAGGCCTACTTTTTGGGGCCTTAAAGCCTTTTTTGGCTCAAAAATTTTTTTGGGCACAATTTTTTTTTTCTTGGCCCACCAAAGGGGGGGGGGCGGGCCCCTGGCCCCCCCCCCCCCCAGATCCGCCAGTGAAACATATATTTTTTTCTTGCTTTAGTTGCTAAAATAGTGAATTTGTAGCATTTTGTAGTGAGCAACTAATGAAATATTATCCTAACAAATGACTTTTCGACATCGATCAAATTTTCAAGACAATTAAAAAATATCATAAACAAACAGAAACATTTACACAAGTTTCATGAAAATACTTTATCATGTAATATATTAACACTTGGAAAAATGTTAGCTTGAAATAAATAGTAAAATATGCCAGTTAGGCATTTCAATGGGGACACCTAGGTGTGGGGCACCTAGGTGGTATTTAGTGCAACCCGAGATTTAGCTAGACTTGGTCCAAGGGGCCCGTCTTAAAAATGTAGCTCTCCTGTCTTAGTGATGAGTTTGAATTATGTCGATTATTCGATTGTTATACATAAATAAACATCGATCTTCGGCGAAGAATAAATAAGAACAACATATATATCCGAGAAACATGTTGGTAAGTACAGTATTTCATTTATAATGGCAGAAAATCAAATTGAATCGAAATCGAAGAAGAAGAATTTTCAATTTTTTTGCATTTTTCCACAGATGTTGGCCAGATCGTTTTGTAGTAGATCTATAGTCCGGGAACGGGATAAGATCTAGGATCTCATAGGCTCAAAGAATAATACAGAGGAATATTTATTGAGCTACTGATTCTACTACAAAAGAATCTGGCCGGATATTTTTGATTTTCAATTTGATTTTTACATTCTAGATCTAGACCTATCTTTTTCGTTCTATGGGACTATACTAGGCATAGGCCTGGAACATGTATAAAATAGAGTCAAATTCACTTATAGAACATGCTGTAAGCTTTATTTCTTTACATTTTTACGGGCCTATGCCTGGGCTATGACTCTACGTAGACTACTAGATCTAGATAGGACTTAGACAAGCCTAAAGCTAGAGCCTTAGATCTAGCTCTTTCAGAGGCTTTGACTGATCTGTTAGAACAGCCTTTAGAGCCCCCTTTAACCGCTTCAAAATTGTGTTAGTGTCCTCCTTGCGAAAATCGAAAAAAATTAAAAGGTGCTTCAGTGCCGAACAGCAAATTCTCATTATACATTCATTATATATTCTTTACCAAGAAACCAAAAAATGGAAGTTTTGACGGAAAGACATGACGTACAAGTCAAAATCTCTGAATCTTGCTAGGTACGTGACAGATAAAGAGAATTTAAATCCTGATTGGCAAAAGAAGCGGCTCATAACTTACATATTTTCTCAACAAAAAGCACTGATGTAGGACACATTGGGAGATATAGTAAGCACTTGAAGTTGATTTCTGTAGATCTGTTACACCTGTCATGATTTCAAGGAAAGACATAAAGTACCCGTCAAAAGAGAAAACCTTACATAAATGCGAGCGAAATCTGCAGATTTATTATAGCTATTGACTTCCCGAATGTGTTGAACGCACAACTCTAAACAATACTTGAAGTTGAATAAAATTGACAAAATATGAAAAGACTGACAGTCTAAAACCTAACTGGGAGAGCTGCCATTGTTTGCTCGGAAATCTTCAGAGATTTTGACTGGTACTTTGTGTCTTTCCATCAAAATTGCCATTTTGGTTTCTCGCTGGGTAATTCACAGTAGAAGAGAAATCTTGATTGACAAAAATACAGCTGACAGCTAACAGCTTTTCTTAAACAGAAGATATAAAGGAAATTGAAAGTAAGCACTTGATTTCAGCAGTTTAGAACCTGTTATAATTTTGAAGCGGGCGATAGCCGATAGGGGGCATGTTAAGGCTGTAAGTACAGGGTGAAGCAATAAATCTAACCCAAATAGAGTTTAACACATCTCAGTATAGGCAAAATTAAAATTCATTCTATGTTCTTTAAGATGAGAAAGTTTCATCACTTTAGCATGTGTACATTTGCTAGCCTTCTAATATTTTGCCAATCGATTTGTTAGGCTTGATTGCAAATTCTTATGAAATGTATGAGTGTATGGTTTCAATGTACTGTACTCCTGATATTTTTCGCGTGCAATTTAGTTTCGTGCTTTTCGCGATTGTGTAAAAATCACGAAAATTAATAGTCGCGAATATCGCCAATTAAAGGCTGAGGTGCAACATGCCATTGACTAAGATCTAGAAATTGTAAATTTTATCCAAAGTATATGATATTGGGTAGGTGTAATTACTGTAGATAAGGTAAATTAATTTTGAGGATTCGGAGAATAATGGAAGTTAACCTTTGATATCTGCAAAATTTAATGGCCGCGATATTGGTCATTTCTCAAAATTCATGAAATTTAAACTCGCAAATTAACCGGTAGTACAGTATTTGCATGTGGAATAATTATGATATTGAGAGCATTGATGAAACAAATGCAATGAACTGATTTGATTGGCCAAGGGAGCATTGGAATTTGACCTGAAGTTGACATGATTGTTGCTATAGGCCTTATGATTTTTTGGAATTCCAGTTATACTATTAATGTCTATTATACTTATACAGTAAAACCTGTCTAATCCAAATGCCGATGCTACCAATTAAAAACATTCAGATTTAAACGTGTCCTGATTTCGAGGTTTTTACATCTGAAAGATTCTTGATTTTGAAAAAAATATGAATGCATTTTCACTTCATATTACTAGCATTGCAGGCGTTATGACTTTTTGGAATTCCAGTAATACTATTATACTTATACAGTAATACCTGTCTAATCCAAATGCCACCACGACCAGTTAAAAAACATTCAGATTTGGAGGTGATCGGATTTTGAGGTTTTTGCATCCGCAAGATTCTGCATTTTAAAAATATAAATGCATTTTCACTAAAAAAGTATTAAGATTACTTTTGACCGCATAGCTTTATGACATTCCAAAATCCAAATCGATTGCTAGAAAGGCCTT